TTATTATTATGTTTGACAAAAAAAAGGTCATCAACAATTGGGTTATGCAATTAACATTTAATTTAAAATACATTAACCCAAGATGGGTTTATTGCATATTCCGCAGAGCAACAGAAACAGCGCACAGAAGTATAAATGCACAGTTATGTGTGTTGCATGCGCCATGGGTCTTACTTGACGCAGAAGTATAAGTCAGGCTTTAGCTGTGACTCTACAAATGGCTCCTGTTCAGCTATAATCCAGACTCAGCATTGCATATAAGTGACTATTGCGCGTGCTCACATTGCAATATCGATGCAAAAACTAAGCCTGATATTGGAAAAATCGGCAATATTTTGTTTTTCTGCTATGTATATTGAGATGTAAATACAATTTCGCCAGAGGGCCTGAAGGGCTCTATTTGGAAAGAAATCATTAGTTTAGATTGATTAGGGTGAATTTGTAAAGGCGTGAATCATGGATCAAAATAATCAACAAATTGCACGCAAAGATAATTACAATAGAGCAAAGAAAAAAGCAGTGCCTTATGGCTTTCCAGAGAATCAAAGACGTCTAATCAGGTAAAGAAACTGAATAATTAAATGTAGAATAAAACCGTATAGTCTTTGTGCCTGAATGCATTAAACTCTTTTAAAAATGCAAATGATAAAGATGCACTCTGGTATGGTTATATATTGGCAATGTGGAGTTTATTGCAACAGGTCCACAAATCTCATCTATTCTTCAACGTTGTGCAGTTCAACTATAATCCCATTCCCAACTCTACATTGCAAATCCTGTGAAGTGATTATTGCAGACACACACATTGTGATATCGATGCTGAAACCATATATTGAGCAGGCCTGATATTAATAGGCACTAATGTGAATTTTGATAAACAATTATTAATTCATTTTAGAGTTCAATCCTTATGAATGATGAACACTTAAAACATCTGAACGCTGTATTTGCTGAAGAGTGATGCAATCGGCAGAAGCTGGATGTGTTTGAGCATTGGTGTGATTGTGCAGGACGTCCTGGCAGGACTGCAGGGAGAAATGATTGATAACACGCTGGAGTTTGCCAACAGGAGCTTGCATGCGCATGCGTGTGTCTTTAAAGGTCAAAAGGTCACTAGAACTGAGGTAAAGCCTTTTCAAGCAGATTAGGGATAATTAGATGAGACCACTGCTACAACTCACCGATGATGAGGATGATTATGGTCAGGAAGAAACTGCTGGCTATCGTGGAAATGGTCTTCACAACAATAAGTTACTCAGTATTAGAAATGTTTTACTCAAGTTTCTGGATATCAGTTTGAAGACCGCCAATTATGACTGCGCAGCTGATCAAAATAATTAGCATTATCATGGAATATTATATTATATATTAATATATTATAATGTTAATATTATACGCAATATCCATATCAGATATTGGTGTCATGAATAAAATGTATTTTACATGCCTAATATTTGTATTTTGCATCCAAAGGTTATTTGCTTAATTGTGACCAATCAAACGAGACCTTCCTATCTTTATCCCCACCTCTCCAGTAGGTGCTGCACTGTAAAAAGCAATTAGTTGCCTTTGCTTTAGAAAAGTGAGTAAACCCATTGCTTTTAAAGCCATTAGTCGACTTTACTTAAGAAAAGTGAGTAAACCCATTGCTTTTAAAGCCATTAGTCGACTTTACTTAAGAAAAGTGAGTAAACCCATTGCTTTTAAAGTGATTAGTCGACTTTACTTAAGAAAAGTGAGTAAACCCATTGCTTTTAAAGCTATTAGTCGACTTTACTTAAGAAAAGTGAGTAAACCCATTGCTTTTAAAGCGATTAGTCGACTTTACTTAAGAAAAGTGAGTAAACCTGTTGCTTTTAAAGCGATTAGTCGACTTTACTTTATAAAAGTGAGTAAACCTGTTGCTTTTAAAGCGATTAGTCGACTTTACTTAAGAAAAGTGAGTAAACTCATTGCTTTTAAAGCGATTAGTCGACTTTACTTAAGAAAAGTGAGTAAACCCATTGCTTTTAAAGCGATCAGTCGACTTTACTTAAGAAAAGTGAGTAAACCCATTGCTTTAAAGCGATTAGTCGACTTTACTTAAGAAAAGTGAGTAAACCCATTGCTTTAAAGCGATTAGTCGACTTTACTTAAGAAAAGTGAGTAAACCCATTGCTTTTAAAGCCATTAGTCGACTTTACTTAAGAAAAGTGAGTAAACCCATTGCTTTAAAGCCATTAGTCGACTTTACTTAAGAAAAGTGAGTAAACCCATTGCTTTTAAAGCGATTAGTCGACTTTTGCTTTTAAGGCGATTAGTCGACTTTACTTAAGAAAAGTGAGTAAACTCATTGCTTTTAAAGCCATTAGTCGACGTTACTTAAGAAAAGTGAGTAAACCCATTGCTTTTAAAGCCATTAGTTGACTTTACTTAAGAAAAGTGAGTAAACCCATTGCTTTAAAGCGATTAGTCGACTTTACTTAAGAAAAGTGAGTAAACCCATTGCTTTTAAAGCGATCAGTCGACGTTACTTAAGAAAAGTGAGTAAACCCATTGCTTTTAAAGTGATTAGTCGACTTTACTTAAGAAAAGTGAGTAAACCCATTGCTTTTAAAGCCATTAGTCGACGTTACTTAAGAAAAGTGAGTAAACCCATTGCTTTTAAAGCGATTAGTCGACTTTACTTAAGAAAAGTGAGTAAACCCATTGCTTTAAAGCGATTAGTCGACTTTACTTAAGAAAAGTGAGTAAACCCATTGCTTTTAAAGCGATCAGTCGACTTTACTTAAGAAAAGTGAGTAAACCCATTGCTTTTAAAGTGATTAGTCGACTTTACTTAAGAAAAGTGAGTAAACCCATTGCTTTTAAAGCCATTAGTCGACGTTACTTAAGAAAAGTGAGTAAACCCATTGCTTTTAAAGCGATTAGTCGACTTTACTTAAGAAAAGTGAGTAAACCCATTGCTTTAAAGCGATTAGTCGACTTTACTTAAGAAAAGTGAGTAAACCCATTGCTTTTAAAGCGATCAGTCGACTTTACTTAAGAAAAGTGAGTAAACCCATTGATTTTAAAGCGATCAGTCGACTTTACTTAAGAAAAGTGAGTAAACCCATTGCTTTAAAGCGATTAGTCGACTTTACTTAAGAAAAGTGAGTAAACCCATTGCTTTTAAAGTGATTAGTCGACTTTACTTAAGAAAAGTGAGTAAACCCATTGCTTTTAAATCGATTAGTCTACTTTACTTAAGAAAAGTGAGTAAACCCATTGCTTTTAAAGCGATTAGTCGACTTTACTTAAGAAAAGTGAGTAAACCCATTGCTTTTAAAGCGATTAGTCGACTTTACTTAAGAAAAGTGAGTAAACCCATTGCTTTTAAAGTGATTAGTCGACTTTACTTAAGAAAAGTGAGTAAACCCATTGCTTTTAAATCGATTAGTCTACTTTACTTAAGAAAAGTGAGTAAACCCATTGCTTTTAAAGCGATTAGTCGACTTTACTTAAGAAAAGTGAGTAAACCCATTGCTTTAAAGCGATTAGTCGACTTTACTTAAGAAAAGGGATTAAAATATAATAATATAATATAATATAATATATTTAATATAATATAATATAATATAATATAATATAATATAATATAATATAATATAATATAATATAATATAATATAATATAGTTTATTCAGTAAGATATCTCTTTTTTAAAGTATAATCATTGCATAAATATAAGATAAAATAAAATATAATTTCACTTGGGAAATGTTATGTTGCAAGAAATACAGGTTTTATTGCAATACTCTAGAACAATAATGCATATTTCCCCAGTATCGTGCTGCTCTAATGTAAAAACCAGCTGGCTGATTCTCATTTGACGTTTCCCTTCAAACATCATTTACTGCAGAAGATATATGTGTGTCGGTCTGTAGTGGTTGGAGCACACCAAGGCTCAAGGATGAAGGCGATGAAATTTTGATTGGTATTATACAGTGCTGATCATAAATCACACCAAAGAGCACATCAGTCGTCAAGATTTACAGTCGTTGTGTGTTTGGGAATGTGTGCTAGATTAGTTTACAGAGGCGTTTTGTGTCAGTAATTCGTAGTGAGTCTGTGTTTTGCAATGAACAAAACTGATTTACTAATCACATCACTGGACTTTCCTCACATGACGTGCAAGACAATCACAGCTTTTGCTAATTTTATGTCGATTTATTGCTCACGCTTAGTAAGTAATGCATGTTGTGTGCTGTTTTACAGGTGGGAAGGAGAATAAGATGCCCATCCTGATCTCGAAGATCTTCAAAGGACTGGCAGCGGATCAGACGGAGGCTCTTTACGTTGGAGATGCTATTTTATCGGTGAACGGCAACGATCTCAGAGAAGCAACTCACGATGAAGCTGTTCAGGCCCTGAAGAAAACCGGCAAGGAGGTCATTCTGGAAGGTAAGACTGGTTTTAAAGAGAAGCTGCGTCTGAAATATATTTTAAAGAGCCCCTATTTTGCATTATAAAAGGTCATGTTTTGGTTTTAGGGGTCTCCAACAACAGGCTGATATGTGTGCAAAGTCACTTTCATTGTCTTATAATCTGCATTTATTTTTACCTAATTATCCCAGCGACTCCCATATGAATCGTTCAGTGAATCATTTGTTCCCAAACCCGTCCTTAGCGCGAAGCTAATCTGCGCTGATTGGTCCGATGACCTAGTCTGTTGCGATTGGTCGACTGCGTTCTGCACCAGACAAAGAGAAAAGCCCAACATGGCTATGAAATAGCAGCCAGAGTGTATGTGAGAGCCCAATGCAGGAATGCAATAAAGCAATGCCGTTAAACACCAGCATATACTCTTAACCCTAACCCCAAGTAATAACAACGACACACATTCAGTATTAATCCACACAGTGGCAAAAGCTGAACTATTTTAAACTTGACCACGCCGCGTGTAGGAATGGCTGATGGTGGACGTAGCAAAAACAAACAGCAGAGGATCTCCAGCTCAGAAACGCAATTAAATCAGTGAAGGAAGAAGCATGTGTCATGTTTTTCACGTGGTTTTGGGCGCAATATGTGAACAGCTCCATACAGATTAAACCTGAGAGATACAGTACAAGCACTGATCTATAATAGAACGTGATTACAGGCCCACAGGGTGATTATAATGAGGGTTGGGGCGCCTAGGGCGGCAGAATAGTGAGGGTGGCATCTGCGAACCTCCCAGTCCTCAATTTCATCCGTGAATGGCTCACTTTCTTTTTCACTTTCGGGTTGAGGATGGCGTGATTGCTGTTCACCTAGAGAGCTAGTTCAGCTTGTTCCAGCCCTGATTACAACTTATAACACACAATTAAACACATTTTTTTCAAACTACATAAAATGAGGAAATCTTAATGACACTTGCGTGTTATGATCCGGAGGAAGAAGAAACTGGTCCATATGTACTGTAAAAGTTACTGACAAAGTCCCTGTCAAAGTCTGACAAAGTCCCATAGTCTCTGGTGCTCCTTCAGTAGCAAACAGCCAGCGAATCCTGCGCTGCAGCGTAGTTTATTGGATCAAAAACCTGAAAATGACAGGAACAAACACAGCTCACGGTTTGCTATACTGTGGTGTTGTTGTGAAAATGAACTTTAACCCTTTATTCGCCTCAGCCGAATCTCCATCTGTCAGTGATCGTCATCTTCGCGTCATGATCAGTCCTGTGATCCCCCGTGCCTCCGCTAGTGTGTGGAGGGAAATCGCTTGCACATTTTACCTGAACTGAAACTACATATTTGGTGATGTACCGTATTGACATCGATGCGATCAAACAAAAGATCCGAACCCAACTTGATTCGTTTATTTGGCTCTGAGTCAAACAGTTCACTAAAGAATCAATAGTTTTAAAGGGCACATAGTTTACCCCTTTTTATGATTCAATATTAGTATTAAGGTTGTTCTGAGTGTGCCAGTTTAGGTTCAGTTCAACACACAGTTCAGATTTTTTTTATTATGATATGTTCAAAAGTGTTGTGTTGTGGGCGTGTACACAGCTTGCTGTTTTTGGGGCGTGTTGCTTCACGTGAAAATTAGTTTTGGCTTCCCGCCCAACATAAGGGGGTGGAGCCAAGAGCTCCTGTGCTCGCACGCACACTGAATAAACTTTGACTGAGGCACCGGAGGTGAGGCAGTGGCGCAGTGGGTAGCACGTTCGCCTCACAGCAAGAAGGTCGCTGGGTCGCTGGTTCGAACCTTGGCTCAGTTGGCGTTTCTGTGTGGAGTTTGCATGTTCTCCTTGCCTTTGCGTGGGTTTCCTCCGGGTGCTTTGGTTTTCCCCACAGTCCAAAGACTTGTGGTACAGGTGAATTGGGTTGGCTAAATTGTCCGTAGTGTATGAGAGTGTGTGTGAATGTTTCCCAGAGATGGGTTGCGGCTGGAAGGGCATCCGCTGCGTAAAAACTTGCTGGATAAGTTGACGGTTCATTCCGCTGTGGCGACCCCGGATTAATAAAGGGACTAAGCCGACAAGAAAATCAATGAATGAATGAGGCACCGATGTGCTGCTCGAAGCCGCAACATGGCACACCAGACACTCTCAGTGGTGTGGCAGAAACATGAAGTGTCCCGAATTGTCGAGCTATGCAGGGCCATGCATTCCAGAAATCCAAACACAGGCCTGCACCAGGGCAAAAACAACGGCGCCCAGCCGCCGACCCACAGTGCTGTCGCGTGCACCCCGGCAGAAACCCACGCCCAGAACTCTAAAATGCACGGCGCCGCACCACGCAGAGGTGCGCTTCTGGTTTGCGACCTGCAGGCAAGTTTGTTATTTTATTTCCAATGGAGAGACGCGCACATGAGGCAACACGCTTGCACTTTTCCAGCTGCACCTAGATCACAGGGAGCTTCTGTGTTCGCGAGAAATGCAAACAGCTAAAGTTTAAGGTAGGCGTAATGAAAAGTGCACATGTTTGCAAACCTACTTAAAGTTACAAACAATAATTCCGATTAGATGGATAATGTGGAGAATATTGATCTTGTGTTGAGCCCAATGAGCCTTACATCTAAAAATAGAGCAAGGGTGTTCCTTTAGTGACATCGCTTTGACTCACACGCTGAAAGTGGCGGACGTGAAACGATAAACTGAGTATATAAAGACCTGCCTGTCAATCAATATTGGTGGGCGGGGGGACCGCACTCCTACCCTTAAGTTGCGTTCGGTCTGAAAACAGCTCTAATTGGCCCTCCGTTTTTATGTTGTTAAATTGGAAAAAAAAGGACTGTGTGTGTTTATATCACCCCAATATGACGGTCTATACACTATATATAAACACTTGTCTGTCCAAACAGCTTGAAAAGTAGATTTTTCACCATAGGCGCCCTTTAAACATGCTGCACTTTTAGATTTAAACCTCAGCTGAATGTTTTCATTCACTTAGAGCTGCATGAAGATCATTCTCAAAAACCCATGATAGGGGCTCTTTAATTTACCTTGTGACTATTTGAAAAGTATGTTGTACTTAAGGTGCATCCAAAGTTGAATACTTATGCAGTAATCTAGTATAAATAGTAGCGCTGGACAATATATCGCAAAGTATCGTTATCGTGATAATAGTCGTAATAGATCAATTACTTTTATTTTTATGCATTGGTTGTTTATCTGAGTTTGACTAATCAAATCAGGCCTTACTATCTTTAGCTCCGCCTCCCCAGTAGATTCTGTTCTGCTATTGGTTGGAGCCCAAAGGTGAACGCAGAGCTGAAAATAAACACGAATATTGGGAAAATGATAACAGCCAATCAGAGTCAGATTATGTGCTGAGTTTTTTTTATAGTGTTTTAATGATTTAGGGCCCTATCATACACCTGGTGCAATAAGACGCAAGATGTGTTTGGCGCGATTTGTTGCTATTTTCAGACCAGCACAACCTTAATTTTCACGTTTTGTGCCACGTTGCCATTCTTTCATTTTCTTATCGGCTTAGTCCCTTTTTAATGTGGGGTCGCCACAGCGGTATGAACCGGCAACTTATCAGCACGTTTTTTTAAGCATCGGATGCCCATTTGAGCTGCAACCCATCTCTGGGAAACATCCTTACACACTCATACATTTACTTATTATTCAAACTTATTATTTGTTGTTCCTAAAACTTGGATAGGCGACAAGAGTTTTGTCAGGTAGCGTAAATATTATTTATATTCACAAAAATATACACAAATATAATTAATAAATATGACATTTCATTTTAGATGTGATTAATTGTGAATAATCGCTTGGCAGAAAAACAAAACAATAAAACAAAGCGTATCAAGAATATTCTGAAAACCTTGTGCATCTCTCTCTCGCTATTATTTCAGTGCTAAAACACCTTTAGTAGTAAATAATGGTCAGAAATAAAATGACAGGACAGACACTGATCTCATCATAATTACAAATTCAAAACTGGTAATCGAGATCTTAAAAGACCTGAGAGCAGCATTACATGCAAACAGCGTCCGCTCCTGCATCACTGCCTCTAAGAGCTTCTTAAAGAGGATAAAACGCTGATATGGCATTAATGGCATTATGGGTCTCTCTCACGCACACACACTCTCTCTCACGCACACACACACACACACTCATAAAAACTATACAGCCCATCTTCCATTATGCACTCCATCAAGCCTTTTAAAGATGTGCATCGCTGTAATTATCATTCACTGATACACTCGTCCTCTATTTCAGCAGCAAACATTATTGAGGTCTCACGGCTTCCCAGATGAACACTTGATGTCAAAAGGCTGCTGACCTCTGCAGGAACAGCATGATGAGCTAAAATGGGAAAGTTTTATAGGGTTTGAAGGTCTTGAATACTTTAATCTTTAGCGTGCTGACAGACAGGCCTTCACTTACACTGAATTAACTCCCTCGCTCTCACTTTGAGCCAAAAACTGAAGCTCTTTATTTGGTCAATGACACACAAAAGGTAGTGCTGCGTGATATATAGACTGATTGGTGAACTGCATCGAGTACACTGTAGCTAATTAAGAGGTGGCTCAGCGGTAAGCACTGTGGCCTCACAGCAAGAAAGTCGCTGGTTTGAGTCCTGGCTGGGCCAGTTGGCATTACAGTGTGGAGTTTGCATGTTCTCCCCGTGTTGGTGTGGGTTTCCTCCGGGTGCTTCCTGGTTTTCCCCACAGTCCAAACTCATGCGCTATAGGAGAACTGATGAACTAAATCGACTGTAGTGTAGGAGTGTGTGTGTGAATGAGTGTGCATGGGTTTCCCAGTGATGGGTTGTGGCTGGAAGGGCATCCACTGTGTAAAATTTTTTGCAGTGTACTAGTATCTTGAAAAAATATCTAAAGAAATATGTGCTGTCATCATAGCAAAGATAAAAGAAATCAGTTATTAGAAATGAGCTATTAAATCTGTTTAAACTGTGTTTTAAGCATCTTTACTGTAGGAAAAAAAGTCCTTCAGTCGA